TCTTTGTTTGCCTGATCATTCACAGTTATTTACTGGTCGTAGTCGTATAACTGCAGCACTGTGAATATAAGTGAGTATATACCACTCTGGTATATATAAGTGAGTGAGTTTAGTTTTACGCCGCTTTTAGCAATATTCCAGCAATATCACGGTGGGGGACACCAAAAATAGGCTTCACACACTGTACCCAAGTGGGGAATCGAACCCGGGTCTTCCGCGTGCATGACGAGCGAACGTTTTAACCACTAGGCTACCCCACCGGCCCCCAGAACAATTTATGACACTGACGCCAAGTGGAGTTTGCTTGAACCAGGATTGCCACGTGATGTGTGAATAAGCATGTAGATATACTTTTATTTTGACGTTTAACACCCACCCACTCACTCACACGTAAGGCTGAACCGGCTCTTGTATTCGATATGATGACTTTTATAAATCCTGAGTGACCGGTACCGTTCATACTTTATGGCTAGGGGAATGATGCTTTTATGGAGGAACATGTACAATCAAGGACACCCCTCATCCACCCCAAATATGTTTTTTTTTCACATTTAAATGTACAAAATTGATGACCCCGCCTAGTACTTTCGTACAATGTTGATGACGCCCCTCGTCACGCCAAAGACCCGTGTTCGATTCCCCACATGGGTACAATGTGTGAAGCCCATTTTCTGGTGTCCCCCGCCGTGATATTGCTAGAATATTGCTACAAGTGGTGTAAACCCATAGTCACTCACTCACTCACTCGTGCTTAAATATTGACGTAACACGCATTCATTAACATTAACATTAACTCACTCAACACAACTGAGCGATACAATAAGTGAAACATCAACTGCTCACGAGGTGCACGTGCATACCGCGCCTTCACCGACCTCGGTGTGACCTTGTATGTATCATTGACATGTTTTCCAAAACTGTCAGCAAATACAAGCTGCATGAAGAAGCACAGCGTTTCGGTAGGTATTATAAATGTTGTTTTGTTAATATCTGCTTAGAAACCCGTCAAGATCAGAGTTAGAAATTGGTTGGAACTGGCAACCAACACTTGTCCTTTCCAGACAACGTACGGGATCGGTGGTCAGGCTCAGTTAATGCATGCAATCGTATTCAATTTGCGAGGGCGGTGGGGTAGCCTAATGGTTATCGCGTCTGCTGGAATATTGCTAAAAGCGGCGTAAAACTATACTCATTCACTCCAATTTACGCAGGTCCATGCTCATGATTTCAACCCCTGGATTGCCTGGTCCAGACTCGATTATGTACTGACCGTCGTTATACAGATGGAATATTGCTGAATGCAGCGTTAAGCAACAAACAAAATGACAAACCTCTTCAGCAGCATACATATAATATAATATGAGGTTCACAGCAAGTCTAGATATTTCAATATGGTGAATTTATGACGTTCAAAACAAGGGGTATATTAGACAGACTGACAACTTATTAGTTTTATAACACTTGGAGATACTCGTTTTACAATACGAATTCTAGACTTTGTTCAGCAAATCACATGTATACCCACTGCTTGGGGGTTAGTTTGCTGAACTATTTAGGCTTAACAGTGTTTGGTTCGGACAGTGTCAATAACAGGTTGGTTTCATAGGAAGATATGGGGTTCGTAACAGTAAGTATGTCAGGGGCGGATCCAGGATTTTGAGGGGCGGTGGGGTAGTCTGGTGGTTAAAGCGTTCGCTCGTCACGACGATAACCCGGGTTCGATTCCCCATATGGGTACCATGTGTGAAGCTCATTTCTGGTGTCCCCCGCCGAGATATTGCTGGAATATTGCTAAAAGCGGCGTAAAACTAAACTCACTCACTCACTCCAGGATTTTGAAGAAGGGGTTTGCACCTAAATCTTGAAGTCCAAGGTCCCGTTCTCTCCCCTGTATGTGTGGTGATGTAAGTGTGAGATGATGTGGTTTCATAATTAAGACGAAGCACGGTGAAAACATGAAGATGGCATAACGTATGTTGTGCCCTTAAACGCACAATGGTCTTAAGTGCACAGAAGTCATAAATAAACATGAGTGGGCGGAGCTTATGTGCCCACGTCAAACGTGTTTCGTACGCACTATTTCTCTCTTGAACACGGAAGTGTCTTTACTTCTGCTGAGTCGTGTAAAGTTGAATAGCGTGTAATGAGAGTGCATTTTCCCCTACAACATAACAAAAACACCATTTCCTTCCATAGTTACCATTTATAAATATTAAAGAAAATATAGCAATATTCAAATGTTTGTTAAAAGTTCGATCGAAAATTTGCAAGGGACCGTTCATAACGTATAGCTGGGCTGGGATCGAGTGATGATGATTTTTATGGAGAAGCACGTACAATGTGAAGAAGCCCACCCCTCTTCCTTCATGAAAACGTACAAAGTGTGAATGATGACAGTCCTCACTCCTCTCCTCTCTCTCTCCTTCATCTCTCTCACTCTCTCTGCATCTCTCATGTATCTCAAAATCTGATCTCACTCTCTCTCTCTCTCTCTCTCTCTCTCTCTCTCTCTCTCTCTCTCTCTCTCTCTCTCTCTTGGGAGAGTGTGAATTCTACTCTTTTAGGTGGGGGTGGGGGTAGCCTAGTGGTTAAAGTGTTCTCTCATCATGCCGAAGGCCCGGTTCGATTCCCGAAATCGGTACAATGTTTCAAGTCCATTTCTGGTGTCTTCCGCCATAATATTGGAATATTGCTAAAAGTGGTGTAAACCCATACTCAGTCTTTTAGCAGGGTGGTGGGTTGTCTGCAGGTCTTCCCTGTTGGAACTGAATTTGGTGTTTGGTAATCAATTCTTGGGTTATGTGCCATGTTCTTTATCAATAAGGCCAGACCAATGTATTTCTTGTTTTACATATTTTGTCCTCAGAAGAATTTCTTGTAAGTTTACATTTTTGACCAATAAAACATTAGGATTTTATTTTTGAGCGGGGGAAAATTCACTTTTATTTCTTTTCGTATTCTGGAAAAATACAACTGGAGGATACGTAAAACAAGAAATAGAATTGGTCTGGTCTAAACTTGAAATATAGGTGTGCTTATACAGTATGCATGAGAAGCAATGTATACAGGACACCTTTAGCACAGTTTACTAAAGGTAAAAGATGCAAATGTGTTATGTGACTTTTAAGATATCAGAAGTTTAAACATTTGGGACATCTTTGAAATAGTGTGAAATGAGAGATAGTTGGTTATGATGCCTCTATCAGTATCATACCAGTCACATCCCAATCAAAGGGCATCAACTTTATATATTTGCATTGGGGTAGGGAGTCAAACCAATGCCTGAGGCGTCACATAAGTTTATGCAGCTGAACATAGACAAGCATGTGCAAGGTGAACATGTCACAGTGGACATTTTCTGTCCAAGTATGGACATCCATCAAATCCTGCATGGTGTTAGTTGTTTGTGTATTCAGAAATGTTGTAGAGCATCAGCTGACCAGATAAAACTGACCATTGTCAGATTTCCCCATAAAATGACAAAAGAAATGAGTTTTGTTAAAGATGTTTTATTACTAAAATACAGAGCAGCCTGTCTTGAAATGGGACAGGCTAGAAGAATTTTTATGAAATGTAATTATATGTAGTACCGAACTCATTAAGTTGGTTCACACACATATCTTTATGTCTGTTGAAAAGACTCTTACAAACAATTGAAGTAATGCCATTGGCTCACCAACGTGAAATGTGTAAATCGTGGAGGTTACATGTATATGGCATTGAACATTACACCCATCATATTTGTGAAAATATAAACTAGTAAACAAACCAAGGTAGCTATTTGAAAATATTTTCATAAACAGAAGCATTCCCTACACCCCATTCCTTAAAGTATTTTCAAGTGTTACAAGAATAATTTAAAACCATACAACTGATTAAAATCCAACAATAACCAAGTCTATGATATAAATACAAGTATTACAGTCACATTTCACAATCATCTCTGGGGAGGGTGGGGTGTGTGGTGGTTTAGCCTATAGCTAGTGGTTCAAATGTTCGCTCATCACCCAGAAGACCCTGTTTTGATTCCCCACATGGGTACAGCCCATTTCTGGTGTCCCCGTCGTGATATTGCTGGAATATTGCTAAAAGTGGTGTAAAACCATACTCACTCACACAATCACCTCAAATGTCACCTTGAATGTTGACATAGCACTAACATTAAACATGGCAGTAATTATAACCAGACATGAAAATAAGGAATACCTTGCATCATATATGAGTAATAATAAGTGAAACATGTTTTACAGCTACATGAACACTGACATCAACTTTAATGATCATGACCAAAACCTTCAAAGAACAGGGTATCCATTTGAAAGAAGAAGGCACATGTCATGTTTAATTATGCATGTGTGAATTCCTTCTTAGAACCTGTGTTGTCTTGGGACATGAACATTTTACCAAAACAATTCCCGGGACTAATGAAGAATAATCTCATTAATCTTTGTGTTGTAGTCATTATGGAAACAACACTGTTTCACTGGGCTGCACATCTTGTTTATAAATTATTACCTTTATCAAATGATTTGGTATGAACCCATGATACATGTAACTACATTTAACAAAATGTCCTCCAGAAACAAAATATGGCAAAATCTGGAGCAACAAAACTGACAAAGCTGAATATTTCAAGATGGGGTAATTTTCTTTTTCTAAGACTAACAGCATACACATTAAATAGTTAGATGTAACATCACATGTAAGACATTATTCACATATCATGAATTACACATATAAACTTTCTTCGTTCTGGCAAAGGGCAACAGTTTTACATGCCTTCCATGGCAGACACATGCAGAGACTTAGTTGCCAGTATGTAAAGCCTTAATTAAATACTAACTATCACAAAAGTAATATAACAGCCAGTATCATGAAATACAAGAAATATGGCATAACTTTACTATTCCATTGTTTACTACATGCCACATATACTAATATCAAACCATCAAACTATATCAAATCATACTTCTAAATCACATTGTCATGCAGTGTAAAAATGTCACTGAAAAGGTGGTCTAATTGTTCAGCAGGACAATAAGCACAAATGGGGAACAGAAAAGCACAAAATGTTTGTGTGGGAAAATTAATGGAAACTTCTGTTCTGCTGGCAAAATAAATAAAAATTATTGCTGAGACTATTTTACTGCTTCAAAACAGAAGTTCCTTAATTTGTTTCCATTATGGAGGTGTTACTCAGCTGACATCAGAATGCCAAAACAATTATCAAAATACATCATACAAATCAGTAAACTGCACAATGAATGCACTTGAATCATTCCTGTAGTCCATCAAGATAACTGTCATCACTTGTCATCTACAGTGATGGGGACACCTCTTCCTGGTACTTGGTCAGCATCATATTCTGTTGATTTGCATTCTGGTTAACCTCTCGAGGTAATATGTGGCTGCTCTAAAGTACAAAAAGATAGAAGTGTTTTTATTTATATTGAACAACTTTTTATGGACAACAACCTTTTTTTATTTTATAAGTGTGACGTTTTGATAAAATTTTGTACCATTGTGAACAAATGCTTGGACAAGGTGAACTACCATAAATGTATATCATGTACCTGCATCACAATATTTGGTCATATTTGGGAAACTGTGTTATACATCAACCGAGATACATTAACTCAGTTAATATTTTATGCTTGTTAAAAAATAGCAACAGTCAGTTTCAATGAGATAATAATAGCATTAGCAACCTAATTTTCTTTTGGCAGTACAAACTTAGTCCAACAAAAATCACAAGGGGGAGGGGGGAGAGGAGTTTGATGATTTTTATGGAGAAGCATGTACAATCTGAGTAACTTAAAATTTATGTACAAAGGAAGTGACCCCCTCCCATGTACAAATACAATTACGCCCCCCCTCCCTCGTCTTCACATTAATTTGTATATTTATAATTTAAATATAATTATGTACAAAATGGCTACCCCGCCCTGGTACATGTGTACAAAATTAACGACTTACCCTACCTCCCAGAAGAAAACGGGTGACCCTCCCTTAAAATCATAACCAACCAACCAACCCACCAACCCACCAACAAACCAACCAACCACCCACCCACCCACCCGCCAACCCACCCTCTGTGCATCAACCAACCAACCCACCCACCCACCCTCTGTGCATAAACCAACCAACCCTCTGTGCATCAACCAACCCACCAACCAACCCACCCTCTGTGCATCAACCAACCAACCAACCAACCAACCAACCCGACCACCCACCAACCAACCACCCACCCACCAACCCACCCTCTGTGCATCAACCAACCAACCCACCAACCAACCCACCCTCTGTGCATCAACCAACCAACCCACCAACCAACCCTCTGTGCATCAACCAACCAACCCACCAACCAACCCCACCAACCCACCTCTGTGCATAAACCAACCAACCCACCAACCAACCAAGCCACCCTTTGTGCATCAACCAACCAACAAACCAACCCACCAACCAACTCACCCACCCACCCACCCTCTGTGCATCAACCAACCAACCCACCAACCAACCCATCCTCTGTGCATCAACCAACCAACCCACCAACCCTCTGTGCATCAACCAACCAACCCACCAACCAACCCACCAACCCACCCTCTGTGCATAAACCAACCAACCCGACAACCCACCCTCTGTGCATCAACCAACCCACCAACCAACCCACCCACCCTCTGTGCACCAACCAACCAACCACCCACCCACCCGCCAACCCACCAACCCACCCTCTGTGCATCAACCAACCAACCCACCCACCCTCTGTGCATCAACCAACCAACCCTCTGTGCATCAACCCACCCACCAACCAACCCACCACCCACCCACCAACCAACCATCCACCCACCCACCAACCAACCCTCTGTGCATCAACCAACCCACCCCACCAACCAACCCACCCTCTGTGCATCAACCAACCAACCCACCCTCTGTGCATAAACCAACCAACCCACCAACCCACCCTCTGTGCATCAACCAACCCACCAACCAACCCACCCACCCTCTGTGCACCAACCAACCAACCAACCACCCACCCACCCACCAACCCACCAACCCACCCTCTGTGCATCAACCAACCAACCCACCCACCCACCCTCTGTGCATCAACCAACCAACCCTCTGTGCATCAACCAACCCACCAACCAACCCACCCACCCACCAACCCACTCTCTGTGCATCAGCCAGCCAACCAACCAACCAACCCACCCTCTGTGCATCAACCAACCAACCAACCAACCCTGACCACCCACCAACCAACCATCCACCCACCCACCAACCAACCCTCTGTGCATCAACCAATCAACCCACCAACCAACCCACCCTCTGTGCATCAACCAACCAACCCACCAACCCACCAACCAACCTCTCTGTGCATCAACCAACCAACCCACCAACCAACCCACCAAACCCACCCTCTGTGCATCAACCAACCAACCCACCAACCAACCCCCCCTCTGTGCATCAACCAACCAACCCACCAACCCACCAACCAACCCTCTGTGCATCAACCAACCAACCCACCAACCAACCCACCCTCTGTGCATCAACCAACCAACCCACCAACCAACCCACCCTCTGTGCATCAACCAACCCACCAACCAACCCACCCACCCTCTGTGCACCAACCAACCAACCCACCCACCCACCCTCTGTGCATCAACCAACCAACCCACCAACCAACCAACCAACCCACCCTCTGTGCATCAACCAACCCACCAACCAACCAACCACCAACCAACCCACCCTCTGTGCATCAACCAACCCACCAACCAACCCACCCTCTATTTCTACAAATTAATTTTGTCTGAAATAAAATTCTCAACTCTTTCCAAAAAATAACCTTTATGATTTGATAGAGCAAGCATTTAACATTTCCAAAACGAAAACATCATTGAATTTTGATTAGGATAAATGCCCATATTAAAAACAGGTGTTTTGAAAAGTGAAAGTAATAATTGATTGTTGTGTGGCCTATACATTCGTTATTTATTGTGAATGGATGAAAGTTTGTAAACTAAGATTTAGGAAAAGTTACAGTCAAACCAAAAAAAAGGCAAATTTTAAAATGCATTAAAAGTTGCTTTACAAACAAAACAAACAGATTTTAGCTGTAATTATCAGTATCTGGCAAGGGGAAGTGTTTATTCATTACAATAAACTCAAAATCATAAAACATTTATTCCAAAATCTTATTAATGTGGCCTTTTTCAGTTTTGTCAATTAGCAATCTGAATTGTTGGAAAAATGTCTGAATCTTTGACATTCGGTTCTTCCTGATTATTCGTAATTAAAGCTTACTTGATGTGTAAATGTCATCTTGGTATATAACAGAATTGTTATTCTTAGTCAAAATGTAATTCAATTGTGTAGTTTGAGCAGGAGATGAATAATTATTTTGGGTAAAATTTCAGTCCAATCACATTTTAATCAACATATTCTTTCATAAAGAATAGAGAAAAGGTTATGGTATCTGTAAAACTGTCAGTGGATAAAGGTTTTTGTAACTACAGGTTGATTAAATTGATGGCTATACCCTAACTTTTCTGAAGCATCACATCTTATTTTCAAAATAGGGTGGTGCCTAATGAATGCACAGGGGTATAAATAAATAAATAAATAAATAAATAAATAAATAAATACATACATACATACATACATACATACATACATACATACATACATACATACATACATACATACATACATACATACATACATACATACATACATACATACATACATACATAATAAATAGAAAGAAAGAAAGAAAGAAAGAAAGAAAGAAATAAAGAAATAATTAAAATAAAGAAATAAATAAATAAAAAAATAAATAAATACACACACACACACACATAAATAAATAAATAAATAAATAAATACACACACACACACATAAATAAATAAATACACACACACACACACACACGTTCCCTTAAACAGACATTACATATCCACTTTTTTCTATTCTGCACCAAGATGTAACATGTTGCATCATTACACTGTTACAAAACAAAACATTCATGTTTCTTTTAAAAATGTTTCAAAACTGATCTCATTTTGGTGGTTTTGAGACAGTGCAATAGATATGCAGTTAGCTGCCCTTCTTGTTCAAACTCAAGATCACAAAATGAGGCCTATAGCTCCAGTTCTTTTACAGTTTGTACCTTCTAGTATCCCTCATCTTAGCATTTGCATACCAAATTATGATTCATCTTGAGTTTATTAGTACCATATACTATACCCATCAGCTAATACCTTTCTTGGTGTCATCACATCTACTCTTGTTTGGAGTCTGTTCTCCCTTCCTGAAAAGTAAAATTATTTATCACCAAGTGCAAACATGTTCCTTTAGCATAAAGCAATGCTTACCATTATAATATTTCTTAAAAGTGTCTCAAATTGTAATAACCTTTTTGTCATGGGTTTCTCCTTCTTTTGCATCTGGCAATGAGTCTGTTAGGACAATACATGTGAAAAAATATGATATTTTACCTACTTTGGTACAAATCCAGGCATCAGCAATGTTTTCATTTCAGGGTACATATAAGACTGAGTAGGTGAGTTAAGTTTTAAGCCACACTCAGCACTATTCCAGCTATATGGCAGCGGTCTCTGAATAATCGAGTCTGTACAAGACAACCCAGTGATCAACAGCATGAGCATCGATCTACCCAATTGGGATAAGATAACGTGTCAACCAAGTCAGCAAACCTGACCACCAGATCCTGTTAGTCGCCTCTTACGACAAGCATGGGTTACTGAAGATCAATTCTAACCCGTATCTTCATGGGTTCATATAAGAGTGGATCATTGTAAATGGTTAAAAATGTACTGTTTCTTTGTTGGCTCTAGAAATTGCTAAATATCAACAAATGCTTCATCACACACTCTAAACGAATTACCTCTTGCATTTAGGAACTAAATACCATCCATACCTGTGCTGACCATGAACTTGTTTAAAAAGTGATGATTTTATTTACCACTAAGTTACCATCAACTAATGTTCATCCAGTGACATAAAAATCAGTCGAGTGCAATTTTTTGTTATTAGAAATTAGAATTTGTGTGTGTGTGTGTGTGTGAGAGAGAGAGAGAGAGAGAGAGAGAGAGAGAGAGACAGATGATAGAGAGAAAGATGAGATGAGAGAGAGATGATAGAGAGAGAGAGAGATGAGATGGAGAGAGAGATGAGATAGAGAGATGATAGAGAGAGAGATGAGATGAGAGAGAGATGAGAGAGAGAGAGAGAGAGAGAGATGAGAGAGATGAGAGAGAGAGAGAGAGATGAGATAGAGAGTGTCAGGGTGAAGGCAGAGGTCAGGGCGGGTCAGAGGCCAGTTAGATTTGACTCAACTTAGCTGACAGCACGTTTCCACACATGGTCGTAGAAGAGAGAGATGGTGCATACCGTGAGATAGGATAAGTTATAAAATATATATTAAAACCCTCAAAGGGTTCAAGATTACTTAATGACAAGTGTATTTCTAAAAATGACAAACTTGAGATTTGTACTAAATGGGAAATGATATTCAATGATTGTGAATTTTCAATACACATTTCTGCAAATAGTTATTTATACTAAAATATAATTATTCAAAATGAACCTGACTGACAATGATTTGTCTACCGTTAGTTTGCAATGATGTTTCTGAGAGCAATTGTTGTGCTTATTAGGACTGTTGTTAAACCATAAAATTCTGAATGATCTCAAATCAATTAATAACTATTTACCATGAAAAATAAACATTACAAATATTTGATTTGGTTTGGTACATTACATAATGATGTATTACTAAATCAAATCATTATCTCTGCAAAAAAACATATCAATTTATGTAAATTTAAAAAATCAATTCCAAAATTCATTAAATATAAAATGGCATCAAAAGAGATATTTTCCGCTCAAAACTTTATTTTCAAGGGAAACAATGAAATTGATAAATTCAGTCTTAAGTCTTAAATGGAATTCACTCATGCCAATATTCAGCAACAAATTATAATTACATCTTTACACCTTTTCTGTGTTTGTTGTTACTGTATACCTTTGACTATAGGAACAAATAAAAAATACATAAAAACATGGGAATGTTAAGATACAATATGAATACACTTTGTCAAACTGATTTTAAATCATAGCTTTGTGAAAACAGTAACAAGAGGGCACAGAAATCTACATCCTTTTCCCTTTCAATGGTGCATAAAATCACCAGAAGTGTAAACATAAGAGAACATACCATTAATCCTAAAGCATATGAGCACAAGTTACATAATAATGACTACACCGAAATCTTTCACTCACTCCCTACTCTTAAAGCTTTCAATATCTTGTAATGCCATGAATTAGAAATGGTACCCTGGTACTTTTCAGTGACTGAGTTTTGCATTTGACAGCAAAGACTGAAGTCATACATTCATAATAATAATAATCATAATAATGTAGCATTCATCAGTCCTTTAATGTTTGTATGATGCTGTACCTTTCTTTTAATTGCCTCTGCATTATAATTAACATCCCAGACTACTCCAGCTGTACTATAAACTAGGTCACCAAGACTGACTACCGCCTGGTCACCTGACTCAACATAGGATTTTTTCCTGGGGATCTATTTTCACCTATATAGATACAGCACTGTTGTATGACATGGGATAACAGATGTGCCCACTTGCCTAATTAAATGCTAAATCTAAAAATTCAACAGTGCCCCTGCATACAGTTCAGATTGCTCCTCTTCACAGCAAGAATAGGCATCAACTGAATTCCAAGCTTTTCCTCAACAAACTGTTGATCTGGACTGGGGGGCAAGCCCAACATGGGATGGTATGGTGAACAACCTGTAAACATATGAAGTTATTTATACACACAAACATTTGTTTTAATGCCATAATATAAATAATAACTGCATCCATGTGTTGATGTTTTCTGAGTAACCATGAAGGGATGCACAAAATAGACACAGATGTTGAGATTTAACTTAAAAATGCCTTATTTGACAATTGAGGTTAAAATGTAACATCAAAACAGAAAAGTCTAACTACAGTATATAACATTGCCAAAAAGGAGCATACCTGTTAAGGTGTCATGACAGAAAGATGTGAACTGTCAAATACATTGATTCACTCAATGGAAAAATAACAAATACATCTTCAGCCATGCATGTGCAAATGAAACTAGCAAAATATCTCTATAATCCTAACAAAAGTGGGGTCAATTGTCTGATTGTGACTATGGCATACAGTGTTCATGAATTACTACCAGTTTGTGGTGGTACCAACTGTTCACAAAAAAGCTGAGCCTTTATTGCCTGACCACTGAGTGGGAGCCTGCAAGTCCAATACATCTGTTCTGTGTTTGTGGCTCTGCCCTAACGTTGATATGTTCCAACTTACACCAACAATAATTTCCTTCATATCAAGCATCAGGAAGATGCCTTTACATCTGTGACATGACCTTTATAGATTACATATCATATTTCAGATCCCATATATATTATTTGTTATTTATCTCCTACTCTTCCCTGATATTAGGGATGGTGAGTTAAGACTTATGACAATTATTGTTCCCATTTCAATGCATAATTAGTAGTGTTGGGAATTGGTTAAAATTGATCATTGGTCCATTACAACCGATCAATCATCGAAAATAATTGGTTAGGATCATTTATCAAATGTTCCTGTTACCTTTGTTAATGCACAAAATAATTTACAAAACCCATGTAGTTCTTTTTGGGTTTTGGGGTAAATTGCACAAAATGCATTTTCATACTTCACATATTTAAAGGATGGCTAGTATGTGGGGAACATAAATTTCCAGGAGTCTTTAAGATAAATTCAATCATGACTTGGAACAAGCTTGTAGTGCTTATGAAATGTAAATAAAATGACTCAGACAAACCAACCTTGTGAAAAAATATTGTTAATGCAAACAAGTGTTCCAAAACTGCTTGTGTTTGATTATGAGAAAACATTTTCGATTGCTTGGTCATTTAGTCACTGCGACCAATCTTCGATTATTTCAATTAATCAGACCACCACTAATAATTGGTTGACTGCTCACTTAAACTCAGAGCCTTGGTCACATTGTGGTATTCTTGGATTTCCCAATCCATACTCAAGGTAGATCCTATGTAGTTGATCCACAAAGTCAATGGTATGTTGCCCCACTGGTGTTTTCTATATCAGGTTTCAAATTTGCTTCATTAGGAAATTTGGGATAACAATTGCCTGTCACCCTGCTTATCAATAAACTCCTGTAATGGATTCCTAAGAATTTCCAGCATAATACCGGGTTTATCAATGTTCTAATATTTTCGAATTTCGATCCTGAACCCAACAAACGCTGTGTATATTTGTGGATATGACATTATGAAGTCCAGACTGAGGAATCACTATTTTCCTGTCCCCATCAATAATTTCCAGTCTGTATTTTCCATGGACAGGGTTGTGGATTTCTTTCAAAGGTAATCAAACTTGTTCATTTTCTTACAAAAATGATAAAACTTGACAATCTTACTTTTCTGGGGAATGTCACCTCCTTCAAGTTTTAATCTAAGGCAGTCGTGATGTCATTTGAAAGAACACCAATGCTTCTATTTCTTGAAGGTTGAGCCTGAAATGCATCAAAATCCATCATTAGGTTCAATTGTACCTCATATGTTTGTTTCTATTTTATCTCACATTATGTGATTAATGTTAATAATGTTATATAATTTATTGAGTTATCTTACAAAAGTTATTAACAAATGTATACAATACAAAAGGTACACACAAGGACCCTCTTTATTCTATATGGAGTGTTATTCCACAAAAAAATGAAAAGAATAAGACAAACCAAACTGAGGTAAAACATATTTTAATGTGGTTGCCTCATCAGCATTAAGATTACTCTGTAGAGTTTATTTGGGTAAACATACTGACAGTATGGTACAATGAACATATCACTGCACAATAGATTATAACGTAATAAACACATATGAAACACATAAACAGTAACTGAACACTATATTAATGCACACCATTATTAACATACCATATCAAGATGTAATCACACCCAAATAGTTCAGCTGCTGCCTATACTTAATATGTGGCTGATTATGAATTAGGGCAAATGAGACACTAACATGACTAACAATTATCTTCTAACTAAGAAACAAAGGCTAGGTTCTGTACGCACTGTTAGGATGGATTACTTGTTGAAGTGGTAGTACATCTCAGTGATGTATTAATGGTAATCATAATAATTATAAAGCCTTTTAAAATGGAAAAGAAACATTTATTATCCATATATAGTCCTTCAAATCCATTAAATCCTTTCTTCAATATACATAATAATTGTCAAACATATCACATTTATACAAGTTGTACACATGAAACCATGTTATATGCAAGATTACACTTTCTCAGTAAAATACACATTCTAGACAAGTTTGGGGTTCAGTCCCATCCAGGATTTGAACCGACTCTCTCCACCAAATCGCCAACATACAAAGTCAGTGATCTAGCCAACTCAGCTGTGAACATAATTATATTGTCAGACTTTCACCGCACCTAGTCAAATACATCCAAAATGGCCTTTGGTCCAAAATGTGTTTTACATGCTCTAACCTTGAACAGAGTAAATGACATGGCAACTAAATAATATTTCACATGTGGTAGTCTCCAAAGCAGTTTGCAAAAAGAAAATTATTTAGGTGATAAACAGCTGGTGTTTCCTTTGATATATTTTGCTGTAATCTTCAGGTTATTATAAATATGAAATATGAAATGGATACTTACATGCACTTACATGTTGCATGAAATATCACTAAACTACATGAGTCAATAATGCCTTGTCTTCCTATGTGATGTTTATATGTGTACTTATGACCCTTCTGCAGCTGCCCTTAAACATACAGAAAGGTCTTAATGTTGAAAAAATGGAGACATCTGCACTAGGCAAATCTGTGTTTTATGTACTGTATGTGTACATGTGAGTGAGAGAGTGAATTTAGTTTTATGCCGCATTTAGCAATATTCCAGCAATATCACGGCAGGGGACACCATATATAGGCTTCATCCATGTGGGGAATGGACCTGGGAAGCAAACTTAAACCAGTGGGCTACCCCATGCCCTGTATATGTGTACATGTCACTTGAATTTTTTTTAAAAGAATTGGATGAAGCTTCAATACTTTTCCCTGTCCAATATGTCTATATGGCACAAGATACAGAGAGATTTGTTACACTGAAAAACTTGTAAGAGATAAATTATGTCTATTTCATTAATGTTTTGCAAAATGTATTTCTGCATTAATAAAGAATGTTTTATAATCATACAGATACCATGGATGTTTATTCATTTGTCACATAAAAAGAGTGTCATGGGATAATTTCATGCAACATCATATTTAGAATGACAGAAAATCTTTAAACCTCAAAACTAGTAACTATGCAACCTCCTGTTCATTAATGGTCAGTTGTTTGCCTTCCTCTGCTGACATCATCAAATCATAGCAGAGTCTGCTACATTAATAGAATATGGTTTTGATATTCATGACCTGATGTGATTGAGATAGTTTAAAACTGTTTCAACACACACTCCTGCATTGTTTATGTTGTAAACAAACAACAGTCCAGGTTTGATTAACCATTTATGAGAGGGCTAACACCAGTGTCTGATCTTTTGTTTATCCCCAAAGTCATTTGTGTAAGCATTTTTGATGTAGGCTGGTGATCTAAGTGGAGAGGAATCAGAAACATTGTTCAAAGTTAGAAAGCACAGAATTCAGGCCAGAAATTGGCCAGGGTCACATTAAACAGCTTTAAAGTCCTGACATATGTAAGGCTGAATAATGAATTTTGCCAGAAAGTATAAAGTAAGGGGTTGGAATATGCCTAGCAATGTGAAACACTGACCAAAGAACCCTACTGCCTGTTAAAGCCAGGAAATTGAAATTGAAACAGATGAAAGCTCTTTGAGACCACAGCATGAAACGAAATTACACATGAGTCTATCAATTCATCAAGCTAAGACTTCGAAATACTTCCATGAAATAAAAAAAATTCACTGTTTGCTGTTTTGAGAATGCTAGACTTGCCAATTTCATATATGAAAAACAACATGAAAAAAAAATCCAGATAACTGAAGTTTATTAGTTACCCTGCCCAAAAGTGATTATTATTCATCAGAAATATCTAATGGCTGAGGTTGAGAGAGTTATGAAATTTGAGATACAGCCTTAACTGGACTGGGGCACTTAAATGTACTGTATGTACCTACATGTTCAAGTACCACAACTTGTTCAAGGTGGTAGAGGATATCAAGGTTAAAGGAGGGTGCACACACTGCCAACATCAGACCGACTTGTTGAAACACAACATTGATGTGAAGGCTTCTGATTCTGCTGTATGTGCAAAGATACACCTCCCCAGTCACCATCAGTCATTCTCCAAGCTGAAAATAGTGTCAAGATCATATTAAATGTTCAATCATAAAGACCATAACAGCCATGAGACAGTTTTTGGAGAAACTAAATAATTGTTTGAAAGTCATGAGAGAAAAAAGTTTATTCATATGCAAAAAGGGTGTAACAGAAAGAATGGATCATATGCAACACTGTTTACTTAAGATAAGAGGGTTTTGTGACATATTGTGCCATCAGCAGTGAACACATTTCATACTCACAATACTCATATCATATGACTTTACACACAGACACCCAAATTGTGTCAGTGGTGACTTTATCCTAATTTGTTGTCAATTCATCGGTTTCAACAAATTTAGAAGCCAGGTAACCATTACCATGTGGGCTCTTGTCACTATTAGACCACAAATCGAGGCTACATTCAAATCAAGGCCACTAAAACAATCCATTCAACTCAAGCAGCCCTAGCTTCACTCCCTTAAATTAGTCTCTATAACAATGCCAACTTGTATCCATGGTGAAACATAAATAGGAAAGCATATACATGTAATGTATGAATTACTAAAATGTGCACTCACCTTTACATGTTGCACAAAATCAAATGTTTTCCCATTAACTTCCAAAGCAACATTAAAAAACAACCAGGCTGTTAACAGCCAATACATGTAGTACATATAGCCTCAGACCACTTTACTAACTACAGTGACATGCCATGGCCAGAGCACCATAATGAATATCTGTCCTAGGCTGTCCTGTGGCATGCTGACCAACCTATTACTTCTCACTTACCCATCAAAATATCGGTCTGGATCGAGTATTTCAGTTTTGCTGTATCCACTGTCAACAACGGTCACCGGAATTTTCGAGCTGAAATACACTAAACAGCCTTGAACTTGGGGTCAAATCATGAAAGGCTGGAGTCAATAACATGTGCAGATTGAGGACAAAAAACAAATGGCAGTAAAGTAAAATGTCTGATCTTTCATTTAAGCTGTCACAAGTCACCCTGAATAAATTAGCACAGACAAATCAGTGCATTTAAACAAGGCACTACATTCTCCTATTTTCCTTCCCGGTCATGGTAAAACTTAGAGGAGTAATACAGGAGTGTGAAAAGCGCCGACCCCAGTTTCGCACCAAAATGTAACCTACTTGAAAATATCTCTGCACACATTCTGCAGAAGCAATCAGGTTAAAAAGAAGCAACTACACATTGAAAAAATATGGTTAGTTTTAATTAGTGGATGAATGCACATTTTAACAACATAAAATCATCCAATCACTGCTGTCATTTGATTCAGTCAGCACTGAAGGCTCTCTACGACGCTTTAAAATAAAAAGGCACAGCAAAAACAACATGCATTTCATTTCTTACCAGTCCCCTGGGGTGCTTGGGGCTGGATGAAGCCCTCCTGGGCAGCTGGCAGAACCTCTGTAGTGCACACTGACTGTCCGCCTTGACGCTGAGGGAAGCGCCCAGCTAGGCTGAAATGGGGTAGAGAGGAATGAAATTTTCAGTCTAGAGGGGTTGTACATGGTCAAAGGGATCAGGTGGGGCCTCTGCACCAGCCAAAACAGCCAAGAGGGTCCAGGGAGGGGTTAAGACATTGTGTGCATTTAAGCTTTTTCTGTGCACTTAAGGACTCCTATAGGAAACCTTAAGTGCACAGAAAACCTTAAATGCACAATGGACCTTTTAAAAAAGGCACAGCAAAACAACATGCATTTCATTTCCTACCAGTCCCCTGGGGTGCTTGGGGCTGGATGAAGCTCTCCTGGGCAGCTGGCAGAACCTCTGTGGTGCACACTGACTGTCCGCCTTTGACGCCCGAGGAAGCGGCCCAGCTAGGCTGAAATGGGAGAGAGAGTGAATGAAATTTTCAGTCTAGAGGGGGGTTGTACATGGTCAAAGGGATCAGGTGGGGCCTCTGCACCAGCCAAAAACAGCCAAGAGGGTCCAGGGAGGGGCCAAGACATCATTGTGCATTTAAGGTTTTCTGTGCACTTAAGGACTGCTATAGGAAACCTTAAGTGCACAGAAAACCTTAAATGCACAATGGACCTTTTAAAAAAGGCACAGCAAAACAACATGCATTTCATTTCCTACCAGTCCCCTGGGGTGCTTGGGGCTGGATGAAGCTCTCCTGGGCAGCTGGCAGAACCTCTGTGGTGCACACTGACTGTCCGCCTTGACGCGCCGAGGAAGCTGCCCAGCTAGGCTGAAATGGGAGAGAGAGTGAATGAAATTTTCAGTCTAGAGGGGGTTGTACATGGTCAAAGGGATCAGGTGGGGCCTCTGCACCAGCCAAAAACAGCCAAGAGGGTCCAGGGAGGGG